GAACTCCTGACCTTGAGTGATTTGCCTGCCTTGGCCTCCCAAAGTGCTGAGATTGCAGGCATAAGCCACCATGCCTGACAGAGATCGCTGATTTGTAATGTCATTATTTCTTAATTTTTCTTGAAATACACTGTGATATAGTGTAATAAGAACTAATCCTTCAAATCATTTTACTTTATTATCATCTTTCACCAAGAAAATAGAAACCAACAAAGACAGACAATGAAGGGGATTGTCATGAACAATACCATGGAGGGTATTTAAGCTTAAATACTTTGTTATTGGTTACAGATACTTTAAGTCCCCAAAATTATAATACTTATGAATTGTCTAAAGAATGTCTTATTAATTCATTTAACCAAGACAGTTATTTCCTGTGTGTTTTGGATATGAGTTTCAGGCAATCAACAGGCAATGAGACTATCATTTGATAGTGTCACTTGTGCTTGGACAAGAAGAGAAGCCCTACAAGAAAAAGTAATTAAAAACAATCTCTATCATGGCCAAGTTAATTGGCCTTTTAATATAAAGTTAATTGAATTTCTAATGCAAATTTATCCAGATGCTTATAAGCTATCTAGAGAAAGGAACATTTGGCCTGCACGGTGAGTCCTTACGTAAAGGTGCACATAGAAGCTGATATAGAGAACTTAACAAAATAAAGGGAGCAACTCTTGGAATTCTTCTGACTGAGCCCCAATAATGTATTAATAACAAGCTCCGCCTTGGGGAGAATGTGGGTGCCCTTTAAGGTCACTTTTCATAAGAAATCAATCAGAAATGTAAGAAAAATTCCAAGAAAAATTCAAGTTGTATATACTTAGCTTTCACTACCCAACTAAGTTATATGAAATCAAAAGCAATGTATTTAAAATCCCTAGGTCTAGGTGTCTGTTGCTTGAAAAACCAGTGTTTTGAGAGGAGAGGACACTCTACTTCAGTTAGTTTGAGTGCTCATGTAGCAACTGAGAGATGGTTATCTAATCACCTATTATTGGCCTGACTGCAAGCATCAGGCAGAACAATGCATTACTATACAGCAAGGAACTTTCTATCCTTGCCTTAGAGAAATGATCTCCCCACATATTTTATGATCTACAGGGTGCCTGAAAGTTTTGTATTGTCCCATGGCTTGAGTATCCTTCCAAATCATTCATTAAACTCCAGTCCCTGGCAAATGAAGCCGTCGATCCTGTTCAGTCCTTTGTGCTCAGCTCCTGTAATGCATCTCATAGGGTCCCATTTCTGTCTTAGTTTACAGGTTTTACTACCTCAATTTTCTTTCCTTGTTTGCACAGATAGGTAGGCACATGGCTTTGGTGCAAATAATCTCTAAGCATTCATAATGGTGCTACCACTTCTCCCACCGTGCTTCAAAAACACACAAAAACAAACCAGCTAAAAGCCTTCCTAGATGAAATTGCTACTTTTATACCACTTGATTATCATGTTTTGAGGTGGGGGGGTCTATTTGATTTTTTTCAGAAACATGAACAGGGAGGGGATGCACATGTGCCCTATCGATTAACTTCTCTTGAGTCTGGTGTTTGTGTGGAAAGAGTTTTCATAGTTTAAGAGAGAATGTAAGGTTTTTGCAAAAGGTGCTTGGCACTTCAGTTTAGAAGCCAAGCAATTATTAGGGCTCTGAGAAATTCAAAAGAAAGGAAATAAATGGCAAACTCTTTGAGTCATCTTCCATATCAATAAAGTATAACTGATAAATAACACTGTTATCCATAGATTTTGCATTCTAATGTTAGGAAAATGTATGAAATAAATATTATATGAACCCAATAGGAATAAAGAGAGGAAAACAAACCATGAACAGAAAAACAGACCATGTAACTTTTACAGAGGACAAACTGGGAAGTGTAAAGTTATGCATGTATGTTCATGTATATGAGCTTGTGTGCTTTAATGAGACACAATGAGTGGCCAGAATTGCTTTATTCAGGGTCTTGAAGTATTCATGTTGTTAATTTCTGCAATTGTTTTTAGGTTTTGAGAGTAATGCATATATTCTAAATCTCATAGAACATACTTTTGGGTCCATCAGCATTGGTGCTCCCATAAATAAAACCACTCAATGGGTGTTCATTATATTCAACTTGTAATGAGTGTTGCCTTCATGCTAGATGGTACATGGGAAAAAAGAAACTCATATTCTTTTTGGTAAGAGAGAATGCTATTAATTTACAGTGCATATATTTATACCTGAAACAATGTTCTGGAAAGCAGTCATGGCCAATGTGTTCTCCTTGCTCTGGGCTCTGCTGAAAGGATAATTGTTTTATCTTTCTCACTATTTGGTTCTTAGGTTCAAATGCCAGAAAATTTTTTAAGAGAAAGAACTACAACTCAAATAATCACATTTAACCCAGCTTCCTGCTTCTGTTTTCATTAACCTATTGTATACTAACTCAGCCACTATATCATTGTTATACCAATAATTGTATTTACATTTATAATTTTTTAATCCACCCAAGCAACTCACATATGAAATACAGGTGTTATCAACCCTCATAATATTTTTTGTCATAATTTTTCTGACATATGTTGAGAGCAGTTTGATGGTTCTCTTGTTCTGCAGCATATAGACACCAGCATTTCTACAGACGTTAAAACCTAAAAGAAACTTAAGAGACCATCAACACTCTCACTTCACAAATAAGAAACCTGGGGACCAACAAGGCAGAACAAAACCCAGATCTCTTGACTTTAGTCCAGTCCAACAAATTGCACTAAACAGATTTAATAATTAATTCTTAACTTGCTAAGGGAGAAAGTGTCTGAGACAGCTCTCTATCAATTTAGAGGTTTATTTTACCAAGATTGAGGATGCAACTGAGAAAAAGAGGCACAGGTTGCAGTAGCATCTGTGATCTGTGCTTTTTCCAAAGAGGTGTTTGAGGGCTTCAGTATTTAAAGGGGGAAAAGAAGCAGGAGAGAAGGAGGAAAGAAAGTAATAGGGAGGGTAGGTAGTGAGGTAAGTGGTCACTTTCTTGTGAGGGTTTGATTAGTACTCACTGAATCCACAAATTATATGTAAAAGGAGGGTGGCCACCTGGAGAAACAGTGGCCTTCTATCATTGCACCTATCTGTTTACATACAAAAGGGAAGGCAGATTTTGCGTGACCCAGTTCTCAAGTGTAACTCTTCCTTTTAACATAGTGAGTTTGGAGTCCCAAGAT